TTACAAGGAACATTGATTCACAATATTGCAATATTGTCCATTGGTTCCAAGACGCTCTCAGATCAAACACTTGGTTTGAATGTTCAATTAAGCTATTAAAAATTCTAGATTTTTTAAAAACAATTTTCTTTTAAAGGAAGCATTAGTAAGGGACAAACAGTGAATCAGAGTAACATAACGTGGACTATAGATGTTGGGACAGAGAACTGCAATAAGAGTGTATGTGCATTTAAATCAGAAAGAATAATGAAACTTCAGTTATAATAGACTCACAGTACAATAAGTTAATGTGCTATTTTGGAATGGTATTACTGTAAACTTAGTCTTTAGACCAAACACTGTAACATAAACTTAAAAAAAACAAAAAACAAAAAACCTACCTGTAAAATTTGACTATAGAGGAATATTAATTCTAGAGTTATTATTTAATTAATTAGAACCTGAGATTATAAAAAGGCAGTGTATTTTTTCAAGACAGGCATCACCATCAGAATACCAGATTCTGAACTCTCGGTTTCATTTAAAGGAGTATTTATGTTCTATTGTATTTAAATTCTAAATAAAGGTTTCATAATGCAAACCTTGATGTCCATGAAAGTTCATGGTGGGAAACAGCTGGAAAAACAAAAGATGCTTTGAAGATAAACCAATCATTAAGATTTCATAGATCATAAAAGCATAAATAGTTGTATACGCTGGGTCTATGAACATATGGATGTCCACATTTACCTACCTTGGAAAACTGGAGCCATCATGCAGGTCCCCTTGTTGTTCCTGTTCCTATATCTTCACTGGGGAAAGGGAAAAACATAAACATAACTGTACCTATTTAAAATAACTCAGACTTTCATTCTGCAGAATTCACAGGTCCAAAAGGTTCCTATTTCCTGCCTTTGTCAGGAGAAAAAACAATTCAAGGGAAAATAGGTTTCTGAAGTGAAACAGACTCAGCTTCCACCCATGGTAATCGGTTTAGATTTCGGTATCTAAATATTGAGTTGAAAAAAGTAATTCTCCATGGGGACAGTACTGGTCATTGCTTCTAGCAGTACTAAAATTTTCAAGTGACAAATGACAAATTATTCTTAGTGCCACTGTACAGAGACAGTCTGCATCCTTAGCTGTGTCCATAGAAAACTTTTCCAATATTTGCTGTCTATACTTCTCATACTTTTAGTTCCTAGCCAGGGAGACTTGAAGAGGAAATCTTTCAAAGGAATCTTTCCTTTGAATTCAGCAAGACTCAAACCAAGATGATAAAGATCATTCTGTGAAACCAGAAATACAAAAGAATTACTTCCAGCCTGGATAATCTTTAAGTTTCAGGTAGGCATACAGAGATGTACAGAAAAGCAGCTACTACAAAGAATTATAAAAGAGAGGCCTTACCACTTTGAGCAGACTCCTGTCTCTCTTGATCATACCAGTGAGTAGAACTCAAGCCCTGTTGTCAGTGGCAAGCTTGTCCTCATTTACACATGCTCTATGCTTTCTACTCTTCTGATATTCTCTCCTTGACTAAGAAATGGGATGGAGGGAAAGAACTACGTATAATAGTTTCCTGGTCTTACATCCTCTTTGTCTCTCTCACACAGCCCAAATTATGTTGACCTAATATAAGCAAAATCAGCAGGTAAAGCAAGATTTAGGAAAGAAAAATGAGATTGTATGGCAATTTTACATGAATTATATTTCCTCCTTGAATTATCATCTTAAGGGCTTTGTAGGAAAAAAAAAAAAAAAAAAAGTACTAGATTCTCCAGTGGGCAACAACACCTGCCCATAGATAAAAGGCATAGAACCTCCAGTCTATTACAGTTTTAGCTAACTGCCTAACTCCAATAGCTCTAACTTTTCACTAACATCATACCAGATCCAAACCAGAATGCACAATACTGTAAGATTTGTGATCAATTTTGGACACTGCCCAGGAGAGCAATCTAAATTCTCCTACTGTATCATACGGGCAACACCTCAGAGCTTTGTAACATCAAATCAGCTCCATGAGAATGTACCTGGGCAGAGATAAAGTCCTGCACCGTTCATGTTTTCCTATCATTTTGGAAGTCACAGTTCAGACTCACCTTCTGTAGAAAAGTATGCAGTTTCAAATCATAGTCTAGCAGGCAGAAATCTCTCATTGTTTTAATAAGAAACTGCTACCAGCATTCTTGGAGAACAGTGGATATCCATGATCCCACCTGATGTGATCATAATGAACCTTCCCACTCCCTGAAGGAGAAAGAGACTCAGTGATATAATTCAGGGTCAGGTTTACCTTCCCAAATTTTATAGCCCTCAAGGGTTACAGCACTTGTAAACACATTGAGTGCTAGCTCTCAGTGCCTTTTAAAATTAATACTCAAACATTTTTATAACCTTTTTTCAAATTTAACCTGATTTTTTATTTTGTCTAATATGTTATTCAACAGTCACTCAAGGTAACTGTCTGTTTCTCATTTAGTCGATAGTGAATGTACAGGAAATACACTTTAACAGTAATTATAATAATACAATAATAATGTAGCAGAAAAATTTTGAACAGTCACAAATACCACTGAGAAATAGATTAACTAAAGATAAGCCATTCATAGAATCATAGAACCACAGAATTTCTCAGGTTGGAAAAGACCTTAAGGACCATAAAGTCCAACCACAACCTAACCATACTACCCTAACAACCCTCCGCTAAACATGACCCCGAGAACCACATCCAAATGGTTTTTAAACACAGCCAGGGATGCTGACTCCACCTCAACAGGCAGCTTATTCCAGTGCTTAACAACTCTTTCTGTAAAGAAGTGTTTCCTGATATCCAACCTAAACTTACCCTGGCACAACTTGAGGCCATTTCCCCTCATCCTGTCACCTGTCACCAGTGAGAAGAGACCAGCCCCGCTCTTGCTGTAAGCGCCTATCAAGTATTGGAAGAGAGCAATAAGGTCTCCCCGTAGCCTCCTTTTCCCCAGACTAAACAGCCTCAGTTCCTTCAGTCTCTCCTCATAGGGCATATTCTCCAAGCCCTTCACAAGCCTTGTTGCCCTTCTTTGGACCTGCTCCAGCACCTCAATGTCCTTTCTGTACGGAGGTGCCCAAAACTGAACACAGTACTTGAGGTGAGGCCTCACCAATGCCAAGTACAGGGGCAGGATTACTTCCCTAGTCAGATCCATAGAACTAGATTCTGGTATCACCTCCCTTCCAAATTTTTTTTCCCCACCATCTCCACAGCAGTTTGCAACTGAATGAAATACATCCATCACAAGAAGTCATCCTTTTTGCCTCCAGCTACAAGCTCCCCTCACGCGTCTTGGAGGAGAACAAATGATCAAGTGTATCAGCAATCAGATGAGCCCATCCATCTGACTGAAATATTAACTTAGGGAAAAGTACAATAAAACATATTTTTTCAAGTTTTGGCTCATCTAACAGCACGGCTTTACAACTGCTCTTGCTGGCACAAGTGAAACAGAAAAGACCACTGAAGAAGAATGGGTTGATCATTTCTTGACTTAAACCACCTGGGAAACAAGTCTCTGCTCTGAACAAATGGATAGGTCTTTTCTATACCCTGCCTAACATTTTGTCTCTCTCAGTGAGACAGTCTTCCCCTGTGGCATGTTCAGAGGGCCACATGGACTTTCACTGAGTTTTTTCAGAAATAAAAGCATAGTTGTTCTTTCTAATTCCTGGTTTCAGATTCTAATAAGCTGTAGTCTTGCTGAGGAATTCTATTTTGATTACTATTTTCTCTATGATAGTCACTACAAAATACAATTATACTTAAGAATAAATGAAATGATGAACACTTTTAATATAACTGAGAAGAACTGCAATGAATTTTAAATAAAATTATAAAAACAATGATTTTTTTAAAATGTAAATTGGATGTATTTGCATTAATCCTCAGTTATGTGGAAACAGTAAACAAAAATGATGATTGATACAATTAAATAAAATGTACCTTACATTATGCAGATTAATATTGAAATCCAGACCTCTGTTGAGTTTTCAATTGAAAGACCAAGGGTACTCACAGATTGCAGAGTTCAGAAACCAATTTTAAACAAATCTTTTACTAGAATATTAAATAAATCACAAAAGTATAAGGACTCTGTTGGAGGTGATTCTCCTTCAAAGTCTTACACAAACCTATGTATCTGAATGCCAGAAAACTGGATAAGGTTAAAGCCTTTGAAGTACATCAATGTGTGAATATAAAATATGCTACCCAGAGCTCATGCTTTGGTTGCACTGCCAATGTTAGCTGTTAATTAAATAGATGCACTCAGACACATAAGACATGCACTGAAGATCAGTGAGAACAGTCATAAACAAAAACTTACCAAAAATAACACACTGAGCTATACTTACTACTAAAACAGACAAGTGGGGAACACAAACATAGAAATATCAAGGAAACAACTTTTTTTTTTTTTTTTTTTTTTTTTAAGAATACATTTCAGGAGATGCTGGCAATTTGTGCAGTATAAAACAATTTCTCCAGACTTGTTTCAGCCATCTATGCATTTCTGGCAATTTCTCCTCTATGTACCTTTCTTTCAATGAGAAAATATTTTACTGAAGAGGCTCTGGTTCCCATCCTTGATGCTCAATCATTTGAGCTACTGAACACCCATTACTGAAATTAATGTAAATTAAGCATGTGTTAATGGCATCAATTCAGGATAATACCAGTCTTTATGACGACAGTACATAAGCACATGCATTTCTGAATTCTAGCTGTATTACAATATTGATTAGGAATAGGTTTAAGGACGTCCTTAAAACAGTAGTGGTCAGAATAATATGGCCCAAATATTGTAATCCCAGTTATCAGTAAATGAAGCTTTATTCAAGTAGATTTGAAAAATGGTCGCAGTATCCAAGCCCAAGTAACGACAGGCTCTGTTTCTTTCTTTTTTTTTTTTTTTTTTTTAAATCACTTTGATTTCTTGGAATTAAGTGCTTACATGCAGACTACAAAGAAAACACATAGGACTAAAACAGCACATTTATTACATGCCAAGTTACAGTTCACTGCATTCCCATTTCAATTTGCACTCACAGTACTATGGGAAACCGAAATGATATCATCAGAAACAAATGAAATACAAAGAAAAGTTTACCAACAGACAGAAGCAAGTGTATCTCTAAACTAAACAGCCATAACATTCAATAGCTTTAATACTCTATTACATTGTTTCATAGAAATTAGTGATGAAAGACTTCTTATCCATCCCTTGCCAATTCGGGATGTTTTCTGTTTTCCAGTTAAATCACTGGAGGCTGATTGGCAACTGACAACCAGATGAATAGAAAGAACTAACTGGATGTGCTGTGAAATTTGTATTTCCCTTGTAAAGTGCCAAGCTCTTTCAAATTCTCTTTGTTTAAAGGTGAATTAATGAAAGTCAGGAGCTCAAAAAAATTGGATCCTGTACTGTGTAGCAAGTAGATTGCCTTTCAAGTACACATTCAACAAACTGCTACTGAAGCCACCTTCATCCTTCCTACAGAAGAATGTGTTTACTGTGCTATCAAAAAGCATCACACTGCACCATGGAATTAAAACTGGCATATTTCCATTGTACCGAACATTTTCTGAAAATGAGACTAAAAAGAAACAATAAGTTATTGCATCAGCATTGTTAGTGTTGCTGCACTTCTACCTTCAGTCTAACAGTCAGAAGAAGTTGCTGCTCAGAAAGGTCATACAACAAAAAACACTGCCAACCTCAACAGCAGACATTCAGACTCTCTCAAACACTTTCATATCTTGTTGGCTAAATAATGAAATAAAGCTTGCATTAAAATGGGATCTTCTCAGTAACACTTGCTTCCAGAATCACTGCAGATAATCTTGCATTCTTTATTAAACTTTGGAACTGAACACTGCAGCAACATTTCGCATTTGTCATATCTTTTTATGTTTGTATCAACTAGTATATGATAATACTCTAATTATTTTTCTGAGAAAAAAATCAAGAGGGAGCACATTCAACAGAAATAATTTGTGTGAGAGAGTGTATGTGGGGAGGGTGTACTTCCATGTATCATTCTCTATAATTAACCATTAATCATATATTTATCTCCAGTACCAAACATCTTCATCTACAGCCAAATTTTAATCCCATTAATCCTCTTTAAAGATCTGTAAGGTCTTCTGTGTAATTCTGACTTTTAGTTAACACATATCTTAATTTTACAGGGATTTTTGCAAGCTCACTTGAGACTGGTTTCTTTCTGAGAAGGGAGGAAAGATCACATTTTTCCACAAAAGTAGAAATGAGATACTAAATGCTGCCAGCCAGCAATAATCAACACAGAGAAGTCAATCCAGAAAGACGACTACTACGAAAATATTCCTACCAAAGCGAACAGGAACTCTCTTCACAGACTGGAGAAACAATTCTATGTTTCCGAGGGGATATATCCCATCATGGAGGAAGATCTGCAATGCATAAGAATTATTACGTTGTCCCTGTAAAAGGGCTTTTCCTTTAGAAATATACTTTTTCTTTTTCTTTTTTTTTTTTTTTTCTGATGGAATTATATATATCAAGGAGGTAATTATACAGCGATCCAGAACACAGTATCAGTAAATCTGTCTTGACTTGGCTCAGGGAGTAACATAAGCAGAAACAAGCAGAACATACAACATTGTACTGTATGCAAAGCATACCAGGTCACACATTTTACCCTTAGGGATGGAGATTTAGCACAGTGGTTTTTAATACACTGTACCACTGTCAAAGGATTCTTCCTAATTCTGATGATACAAAGTCCGTTCAGCATAATTCCTTCTCTGCCCCTGAGTATGAACTAGACAAAGGAGAGGGAAATGCAGAGGATGTGAAAAGATTATCTGAATGGCCATAATCAATTATCCAACTTTTGGCTTCCATGAAATTAGAGCAATGGCATATAGGTAGGAATTTTTAAAGTTGTAGCCCTCTTGGAGAACTTTGAGGAACACACCACAGTGATATAACAGCAGATGGAGCACAGACATAAATGTAATCAAAGGCTGAAAGCCAAAAGCCTACATCAATAGTCAGTATAAGACAAGCTCAGAATTACCTCTATGGGCTTTTTGGTGATAAAACAATTCGTTGCTCTCATCTCTGCATTTTGTGTAAATATGAATGAGATTAATTATGATATCATTCTTTTTAACTGCAGAGAGTAAATGGCTAGTTGAAAAATAGAAGTGCTTTTAACTTTTATCACTTATTTAAAAATCAAGAATTAATAAAAATTATCATCTTATAGATGAAATGGATGAGAATAACTAATCCCATTTTATTAAGGCTTTCTTTGTTAAACTGTAAGAGATGCTACAAAATTCATCAGTATTGTCATTTAGAATTAAAATTTAAAAATTTTGTAGAACTGTCCAGTTCAACAACTTAGTCTCTCATCTGTGTATTTTGTTAGACCTGGACAAAAATAGTTGTGTATACAGATAAGTTAAATTTTAAGAGTTAATTTTTCAATTTTCTTGTCAAAATACTGATATCATTTTTATCGTTGATCACAAGAGGGAGACTATATCAACATCTTGTTTCAAATTTTAAAAACATCTATTTTAGTAATTTTGGATCAGATCTAAACTTTGACAATTCTCTGAAAAACATTAATGTCTGTTCAGTTCTTTTCTGAGTTTGTCTAGCCAGTAAAATTTATAGATAAAGATACCCAATCCAATAAACGAGATTAAACAATGCAAAGGCAGTTGGAAAAAAGATTCGAGAATAGGAGTCAATTTTTGCAATACGAATGTGTATTCTTCCTTCTCTCCAAGATCCTGTGCGGCAGTCTTCAAAACAACAAAAGAAGCTAGCACAGTCTTTCCCTTCTAGGCACTCATATCCATAATCATCATCACGTTCAGGGAGATGATTAATGTTATTAATTGAAATTAGTGTTGATCCAGGTCGAACAGCAATTGCAGATGGTTTCTTAAGAAAAAAAAAAAAAAAGAAAAACGTGTTTTTGTTTTACCCTCAAATAATTCCATGCAATTCCACAGCAAGGGCCAGTGTAAGCAGATTCTTCAGTACAATATATAGAAATTCAAGCATTAGAGGAAAACAACGTGGGGAGCTTTGCAAATTATGAACTAGTCTATGCAATTAGCTCATGCGGGCAAAAGATCATGAATGCTTTTCACCTGCCATGGTGAAAGCGGGGTTGTGCTGGGGATTGGGAATACTGGATAATTAGTTATACAGACAGGATTAGATGATCCCATGTACATGACACAAAAGAACATTTTGAAGTAAGTCACAGCTTGACAACTGGGTCATAGACAACATAGGCTTAGGAAGGATATAATCATCACTACCAAGGGAATGATAGCTTTCCCATCATTTGGAATTTTTAGTATCAGATTCGATGTTTTTCTAGAAAATAAATTTTGCTAAGGCAAGCTAGTGGTATTAGGACAAAATCTCTGGTGAAGTTTTAGAGGCTGACCCACAGCCTCTACACAGGCCTAACCCTCTGATGGTAAATCCGTAAAAAATATGCCCAGCCCATACACAAATACATAAAACACCTTAGGAGAATGCCATGAAGGTCAGTAAAAACGATTATTTTAGCTCTTAATTCTTGCTTCTACTTTCCACATGCGTAACTCAATCTGAAATTAAGTTCAAACTGATTGAAATAGGTGCTAACATTCATAAATAATTTTCACAGAAATATTTTGGGTGCTTTATTGCCTAGTACATTAACTACTTGCTTTCACATTTCTCATGACTTTTTGCCTTCCCTTTTCCTGCACTATCATTGCCCATCTTTTCTCCTTATATTATTTTGTTTCCATGTGGATCTTCATACAGCATCCTTGCTTTCCCAAGTATTCAAAAATACATTCTCTGTTTCCTTATTTATCCTTGTTTTAATTTCTAAACCCCAGAGCCTTTTTAGACTACTCATTCTTAGACTACTCTCATTCTTTCAGTCCCTTCCCACCTTTGGCATCTTTTCTAAAGTTTTCAGACTAAAATATAGTAATTACATTAATACTACTCTTACATTTTCTCCTCTCTTTTCTTGAATCTCCATATTTTGCCATGTATTGAATAAAAACATTTAGAAACGATGCAGTCAGACGAAGTAAGGAAGTGAGTTTACAGTGAAATAATTAACAACTCTGGCTACTGAAGTGTAGAAAAGAATTATACATGATAGACAAATAAGAAAAATATATAAAAAGCAAGAAGCCACATCATTTCAATCCTTTTTTGTTGGTTTTAGGAACCAATTGTCCCACTTCCAGGGAACTACTTTGACCAATACACAGATCTCTAATAACGGACTAACTTTATTCCTGTGGGGAACTTTTACCACCAAATCTCGAGGCAATGGTGTTACAGCTGTGCAGTATCCACCATATTTTTTAATAGTCTAGTAAGTATTTTAATAAATATTTTTACCGGAGGAAAATTTACACACTCTGCTGTTTCAACACTTTTTAGACATGATGACCTAGGGAGCTAATTATTGTCTTAAAGGGCCTCATTATTCTTTTCAGTCATGATAATATACTGACAATACCTACAGCCGCTATATTTGAGACATTACGAGGTCTTTTTTTTTTTTTACAAAACATAAAATTTCAGATGAAATTTGTTTTGAACTTAGAAACTCATTGCTTTTAAGTAGATATATAAGGAAAGATGCCTATTCGTTATTTCATTTCATCTTCTGCTTGATTGTATACAGGCAACATTCAGCCCTCACCCAGGAAAGTCAACTAATATGATTCAGCTATGCAACATCTTAGTTGCATAAGCTGACTGGAAAAAGGGCTTTACAGCATTGGTCCTTCCTCTTATTCTTTCCCAAAGATTACAATCAAACTTCTAGTTTTCTAATGAAAAATCTATTTAACACCTTTTCCTAAATGCTTTAATAATGTAAATATGAATTTTAAATATTCATGCTGACAGATTCTTCAGAAATTCCCGTATTCTTACTACGTGAAGAGAAAATCTCTTAAATGGAATATTTATTTCTAGGATTTGTGAGAATTCATACCATACAAACCTCAAATTGTAAAAGAAGGAGGATCATTTTAGTAGAAAGAAACATTAGAGTAAATGAACAAAAAAGACTTTTCAGAAACATTAAGCCCAAATAGAACTACCTCTACTAGCACATGCTCCACAGACAGCTCAAGAAACACCAAGGGCTTGGGAACAGCATGGAAAACTATTTTTAAAGACTCTCTAAATTAGGCTTATATATTTTAATTTAATTATGAATTGAATGACCCCAAAATTTTGCAAGTTAACAGTATTACAGAAGGTGAATATAAACTCCCAACGAATAAAGAACAAATTGCAAGTTTTTGGTTCTTAATCATTTGACTAAACTTACTGATGGCTTAGGTTTTGCCTTCTTATCTTTTCCTTTGTCCCCTTTTCTGTTGCTAGTAAAGTAATGCAAGGTGCCATATTCCATCAAGGCAGCAAACACAAAAATGAAGCAAACTGAGACAAAAAGATCCATTGCTGTCACATAGGAAACTTTTGGGAGCGACTTCCTGGCAATTGTGCTCAATGTTGTCATGGTCAGCACCGTTGTAATACCTATTTAATAAAGAAAGTAAGAGAGACAGATGGGGAAAAGGAGACTGTATGAGTAATTCAAACATATTGTCACACACACACACACACACACAAAATCCTCAAGTTAGCCGATAGCTCATTCATAAGGCATACAAGAACTGAGGCACAGCAGAATTCACCTTAGATCACATCCATAGACAACAGTGCTACTGCAAGAAGCCATCCCTATGGATCCAGAGGCCACTGTTAGATCATACAGAAGCTGGCTGTTTGTGTAACCCAGCATGGGGCGTGTCCATGGACTGTTGGCAAGCTTCAGGAAGCTCAAGAAGTGGTCGTCCATCATGACATCTTCGGAAACACCAGCGAGGGTTAGGTAGCTACCTACCATAGGGAGCCTGCTATGCTGTGGGGTTGGACTAGTTGGCCTTCAGAGGTTCCTTCCTGCCTTATAATTCTGTGACTGTGACACATTTAGTTTAACACTCTAGTTTAAATTCCTTTAATTTTCAGCACATACTGAAGAAATCAAGACACTGATAAAGTTTTTGTAATTTTATAAAACTTTTAAAGAAAGCATACATACAACAAATGCAGTAGACACAAAAAAAACACATATATTTTATAAACAGATAAAAGACATCTGGCTCTTGAAAGTTTAAAATATATGAAAGCACACAAACAGAAAAGGGTTTATTATATATCAATAATTTTAAAAACTAATTTTAAAAGTATTAGAAAAAGGAATAAACTTCTTAACTCTTTGCTTATGACATGTAGTAGATCAAATTAGATGAATTTCATGGCCTTTCTTGTCTCATTCTCTAAATTACTAAATATATTTTCAATATTGTGCCTTAAGTAATAGAAAATATTTTCCTGAATTCACATACAAGTTAATTAAATGAACAAGCTGTCCTTATTGGCATCATGTTTAGTGTCTTAACTATACCACTCTTCACTGGTTTAACATTTAGAAGGTGTTAATGCTTCCTTCTTGTAAGCTATCCCATAGGGAGATGCAAAGCTTTTTTTCCTAGTAGTTCAAAATTAGGATGTAACCTTTCCTTTGGAGTGCAATACTTGAACACAAAAATAATAATTTGACTTATATGTCTAGGCTTACTGAAAACAAACAAACAAACAAACAAAAACAACAGTGAACTGTGACAATAGTCTTAGGCTATGTCTTTCCAGTCAAAGCATGGAATCAGGAGTTGCTATTAGTTTATAGTACAGCAGGAAAACACTGATGATTTTGCAACAGATTTCTCAAAGAAATTGCATGCCTAAAAAGGGCATACAGATAATCACGGAGTTTTTTAAAAATGCTTTGCTCCCACTAGATGCTTTTGAGAATCACTTAGGTATTTCTCTGCATACTCAGATATTAAAATGCATTTAATCATCTTATACTTTGGAAAACCAATCTGCCAGGATCCTTCAACATGCACACAAAAAAAATTATCAAGCATCTTCCGTATACCAGGCTTCAACACAGTCTCCTGGTTGGAGATGATACCCACCATACTGAATTCTGTTCCAAGACAAGGAAAGATGACATGGATTTTCCCAGTCCTCTTTACTGTGTAGAAGGGAGAAAACCTTCCAATTATCACAACTTCTAGCTTTACTTAGCGTTGGCTTTCTTCTCTTAACCTCTCAGTCTTTCCCCTACCATGTAAAATCACATCTTTTTGACTGGTAAGTGCTTTTTTTCTTCACTAGAAAATCTGCATGTGAAAATAGTTACCCTATAATCTGCCAAACATTGACTTTTGAGCATTCACACATAAAAAAAAATCAGAAAACTGTCACTACTAATCTGAGAGTTGTTAGTGTGCATCCTATGAATTTCACACATCTCTATCTGACACTTCTCCAAGACAACACGTGATTCCCAAGTGGTCAAACATAGGAGGCCAGAGCCACACTAATCAGGTCAGCCAAGTTTGACACTAATACTGAATTATAATCGGAAGAACTTGCAACATTAAAATAAAATAAAAATTCTGCAATAAAAACAAGGTCCTGAAGGACAGCAATTTAGGTTTTTGCAAGTTACATGCCTAACTCCTTGAAATTCAACTTCAGTTGCAAATATTCTTTCTTATCCCTAAAAGAGCATATTGATTTACTTCATTATTACAAAAAAAAAAAATGCACAAAGATCACACTAAAATTTAAAAACAACAGAAACAGAACAAAAACAATACACATCTTCACAGTTTTCTCCTGTGTAGAAGTAACACCCTATGTTCCGTTATGCTAAGTGAAGTTTAATCATACTCGTCAGACTAATCATTGCCATATTACCATCCCTGGAGGTGACAGAAATATCATACAGAAGAAAAAAATATATATTTACGTAAGAAATTGTGAATCCACAAGGCTTAGATCATAGAATCCTTAATGTTAGAAGGGATCTTTAAAGGTCATCTAGTCCTTGCAAGGAATAGGGACATCCACAAGGATGGCACTACCCAGCAAGGAATAGGGACACCTGCAAGGAATAGGGACATCCGCAGCTAGATCGAGTTGTCCAGAGCCCTGTCCAGCCTGGCCTTGAAAGTCTCCAGGGATGAGGCATCCACCACATCTCTGGGCAACCTATTCCAGTTCCTCACCACTCCCACTGTAAATCTTACCTAAACCTACCCTCTTCAAGCATGAAAATTTTCCCCTTGTCTTATATCACCACAGAAGCCTAAGATTTCCAGGTTTCTATTATAAACACTCCCTCCCTTAAATTCTGTTGTGACACCACAGCATGATTCTCCTACTCTTAACCTTGTAACTCAATAGAAAGTATGACCAATGGTCATAATCATTTAATTCAGTTAATCCAGTGCACACTGCAGATTTGTATTGCTGTTCCAGAACCCTCAAGGGTGACAATAGGCATCCTTACCCAGAGATGTCCTTGCAGGAACTGCATCCTTGTTGATCCAAAATGACACCCATGAAAGAACAACTGTGAGTATACAAGGAATGTACGTCTGGATAGTAAAATATCCCATTCGTCTGCTGAGATCAAAGAAGATTGTCATAATAATATAATCACCTATGAATTAAGAAAATAATAATAATCTTGGATTATATCTGTTAGTTTTGTTGCACATAGATAATACATGCCAAAAAAATTTAACACTTTGCCTTACCAGATAGGGTATGAGAAATCTCAGTTGTATTTCGCAGCCCTACAAATGCAAATTGGTACAATCTCCAGTATTTCGGATCTGCCACTTCAACAGAGGTTTTCTTCCATTTGTATTCAATTTCATTTCTGGGATATCCATCTAGAATAAAACAAGAAATCAAGACTCCAGCCACAGCAAATTTCAAAGTATGTATTGTGATCTCTGAAGTTGTTTGGAAATGAAACAGAGACTGTAAACAAAGGGAATCAGAGAGTAAGAAAATCTATAATCCACTGTATCCACCTAAAATTTAATAACAAAATAACTAGCCTCAATTTTAAGCCTAACTGTTAAGATCAGCCTAAATTTCTGTAAATATAATTGCTTAGGAAATATCTACACAATATTCTGGAGTTAAGACATGAAAAAATGACTCAGAAACACCACTATGCATTAATTCATGAATGCAATATACTTTAGCTTTAGAAGAACACAAAGAGCTTAAAAATACATATACTTCCGAGTACACAATATGATCAAATTCCTATTCCTCAGTATGGATTTTTGTGGCCTGATTCATTGTTCAGTAATCCACCTGGAATTACAGCCTTCTTGATTTTCATGTGCCTCACATGTTGACCCACATTATCTAGCACAAAAGCAGGAATGAAATCAAGTAAGGCTCACTTAAGGCTCATTTAATTGACAGATCTATCAAAGTTCATTTAGCATTCAGGAAGAAAACACTAAATAAAATATTCATTTCAGAAGATTCACTGAAGTTTGATTTCATTGCCTTTTAGGTTTCACATTTAAGAATAAATTGTTTAGCTATGTTCAGTTGGTTTGGGATTCTTTTGCTAGCAAAAGCACAATACTCTTAGGAGCAGTATTTTATTTCTAATATATTAAAAAAATAAGCCTGAAAGTTATGTTTCTTGCTTGCAAAAACACATCCCACTGAAAGGAGAAGGCATGTTTATACTGATTAAGCATTTACAAGAACAAGCTGAAGAAGGAAGATCTTAATTTTCCTCTTAGTATAACACATGGAACCAATTCAAAGCTGGCAAGTCTGACAGGCATAAAAAATAAAGTTCTTCCAAGGCAATAGATTCCTATTAACTGGAATGAGTATTGCATCATGCCCCTTAGCAATACAATTGTTTTTAAAGTTGCAACTAAATGAAATGCATGTAATTCAACTCATTCATTATTGCATTTAATTATGCAATAAATAATGCAATAAATCAAAGCAAAATACAAATAGATTTTTTTTCCTTCACTTCAAGGCTTCAAAAAGTAATTACTTGCTCTCTTGCTGATAGATTTTAAGGAAATTTAAAGCCTGGTTGTAAAGAGAAAAGAAAACAAAGTATTGTACCACCTACAGCTTGAAAATTCCAGTGGACAGGAGTGTTCATCCATAGGAAAGTTATGAAGCTGAAGATAACACTCTGCATTAATTGTCAGTCTAATTAGAAAATAAGAACAAAAGAAAGATTACATTCACACTTCAGACTACATAATAAACACATGCATAAAAATCAGTTTTGCCAATGAATGGATGTTATGCATATCCAATTATGTATCTGCAAAAGGCATCCACCATCATCTCCAAAGAACAAAATTATTAAATGCAACCTGATGACTTGTGTCATTTCAATTGCCATATCAAGTCACTTAAAAAATGCTAATTGACTTGGTAATTTCTTAATTTTCTACCAGAAAGAGTAAAAGGGAAAGGCTAAAGGCAGGACAAGGAGGGGAGATAAAAGCAGCAATAAAATGAACTTTTTAAAGAATGTTTTGGAAAGTCTCATGGTATTTGGCATCCTTATATCTGATGGTTACATAAATATATATGCATCTATATATATACATAAGAGGGAACAAGAGGCCTGCTCTAAATTTGTGTAATTTGTGTATATTTTGTGTATGAAGAAGAACAGTGAAGAACAATCTTGACATTTCTACTCATTCAATGTCTAATATCACACAGGTTTTCAAGTAGGTAGCATATATTTTAGAAGCAGTCTAGAACTAGTCTAGCATTTAAACAACAGAAAAAATCAGTTGCAGCTTTTGAAAATACTATCACAGACTTCCAAAGAGTTTCTAAACAAGGTGGATTTTAAGGAAAACTAGTTCTTGCCATATATTGGGAAAGAAAAAAAGCCCCATTTCCAAGTAAGACACCAAGTAAGACACTTTGCCCTTCAAATTTTCCAACTGTGATATATGCACATATTGTCTAAGTTCTCCATTTTCAATCTTTGGATGCTCAAACCCTTAAAAAAAAACAAAGCCTAGCTTTTATTATAAGCTGAGCAACCAGATTTGGAATCTGATGTGTGCAATAGAAAAATCAAGGTCTAACCTCACAATAGACTCAGTAGGCCTAATGAGCTTACCGACCCTATTGAGCAGCTGAACATTAAAGAATCACCATGTCTTCTCCCTCAAGTACCAATGGGGAAAGAGTGGTGGTACATAGGAATCAAAGAACTTGAGCACTGTCAAATCCAGTTATTGTTTCTTCAGTCACCAACATATGAACTCAATGTTATTCCAATATGAACTCTCAATGCTATTCCACCTTAGGCTGAATTCAGATCATATCTTCATCTATACAGATGTTTGCATGTTGCAGTGCCAGATGAACACCCAGTTTTGCTGTTTCATTTCCAGCTCACTGCAATTCAAAGCGCAAACTTCAGCACAGTAATTCTAAGTTATTCCATTGAGAGAGCATCACACTGCTCATACAGTGCTACTAGTCTGTAGATGAAGGCAATGTAAGTAACTAAGTGTAAGTAATTAAAAAGTTGCTACTGTTTGATTTTTTTAAAAGGTCAGATATATGTCATCTTTTGCACACGCTACTTGCCTATCAGTTTCTAATTTATTTCAAGGTTTTTTAGATTTGCTTAATAAGAAAGTTTGAAAGATTATCCTGTAAGTAGACTACAGCTATTCAAGAACTGTTTGTTAAGTGACTCAGAGATCAGTACAGATAGCCTAGATGGTATATTTAAAATTAACCCAAGCATCCATCATTTGCCAAGCAGAATTACTACTAATATGTTTGCCTTTGCCTAATTTGGAGGAACAGGTTTGTAGATTTTAATAACTTGTAAGAGTAAACATGGGAAGTAGTATATGCAGAACTTGGACCTTATCTTTAATTAAGCTTTTTTTTATTATTTTTATTACTTGAAGCATTCATCTTTTACTTACAGAATATAATTTGGTGAAAATTAGATTATTAACTGCTTAAAATAGAAAGTCTGTGAAGCAATTTATGACTCAGGTTTGTGATATCTTAGTTACAGAATACAACTCTGTTGGTATTTTTTTCCTTAAACCTTGTTTATACCTAAAAAGGGATTAAAATTTGGTACCGCTTTCAACTGCGTTTAACCAGTATTCTGGGCAGTATATTTGAATAATATTTATTTAATATTTTTCATTATCAAATCATTTTTTTCCATCTTAGCAAACTCTCTGCAAACTCCTGTAGTCAACAACAAACGAAATTTCAGGTACTTGATTCATTTTTATTTTCGTGTTCTTACACATATCAGTTCTATCTTTTCTATTTAGTTAATAAGGACCCACCTTAGAGTGTATAATACTCTTCCATCACTCCAGATTCTAAGTAAGCGATTTGGAGTTGTAATCCAGTGGGCATCAGATTTCCTCGAGTTCCGGAAGAAAGTGTCTGGAATCCAAATTTTTCCAACCATATTGCTATTAAGCATAAGGACTTTCATTGAGCTGTTAAATTTCAGACGACTGTCATACCAAGTCTGGGCAAATATAATATCTATGGTGTATTCCTAAAAACAGAGAAACAATATCTATGTACACATTTACCAAAGCCTGCAAGCCAAGAATTTTCTACTCAGGTATAAATCAAAGGCTCTTTCTTCTATTCTCTTTGTTATTATTTATATTGCATTCAGCAGCCCGTAGCAGACTAAGGAAAGACACATATAGCCTTCTGCCTCTATTTCCACCCTCTGGAGACACACTGTTTAGCCAAAGAAGAGACCTGATAGGATCTTGTTGTAACTTGGCAGTCCTCACACAATACAATCACACTGGGGGAAATAGACACAGATTTAAGGACAACCTTCATTTTTCTGGGCTAGGCCAAATTTCTAGAGACATAGATTTACATCTCTTCAAAAGCAAATAAAATTCATTTCTTGTGTTTTCCCCCTTGAATTTTACAACATGCATCTGTAGATCCTTCAAGAAAGCTATAATCATCTTCAACATTGCCCATCTGTATTTTGACAAAAATGAAACACACACATTGACTAAATTTCAAACTTTGAAAAATTCATGTATATGCAAGAAGTAAATATCACTGCTTGCAGAAATAACTTGACCATCAACCTTGTATATTCACCTGCACGCACACAAAAGCATATACAGTCAGAAAGGAAATTTCCCTAATGCAATTTCTCTTCACTTATTAGAGGGTGAAGAAAATTATTTTCTGATACAAAGTCAAATTCCTCAGTAGATTTTATGGTCAAAACAGTGGCAAATCAAAGATTTTAATGAGACAGTTAAAGACAAGGGAGTTAAACACTGAAAAACAATATTTCATCGCATCTGCAGAGAATCCAACCATTTGTTGCTTAGTATAGGAGCAAAATAAAGGAGCAAAGCAGCAGACTAAACTCTGTAGCATTTGTCTCAGCTCCAGATCATGACTGATGTTAAGAGCAACAGCCACTCTGTATGGTGGCAGATCCCTCCTACGTGGCTGTCACATGAAACCTCCTATGAGCAACTCAGTATCTCCTCTGAGAGCTCAGTCCACAAGGAAAAAAAATCACTGAAGGCCAGACTTAGACACCTTGCATTGGTTGCTCCCTGTCACCTGTGAGGAGAGAAGAGAGAGGGAAACAGTGCTGGTGTGAGCCAAAGGATGCATTACTAGCTAATTTGGACAATAAAAATACACACTGCAGATAGCCAATTCTGACTTTTAATGCAATTAATGTAGAGGCAATGAAATTAGAATGCAATGAAAGTAAAAGGATTTGCTGATTGGATTAGGGTTTATTGCTCATTTTATTTTTAAATAGCCACAGTATCCAGCTATATGAGTTATAGATTCCTCTCTCATTTCTGCAAATATTAGCAGCTATCTCCCAGGTGAAATTTGTGAAATTTCCATCCTTCAGAAGTGCAAAGGTGGATATACCAGGACTGCTTAAATCTCTCTCCATTTTCCCACTTATCTGGGTGTGAAAAGAAAAGATATGGAATATAATAGATATGCAAGGGTAAGGCTTGCCTTTGCTCTCTCTTCCACACAAACTATCGTAACTCAGTGACTTGCAAAGAAAAAATAATGGGTGTATAAGGCAAACAGCAGTAGGACAAGGGAACAAAAGGACTAATCAAAAATGCATCCTGGAGATGACTTCAGTCTAAAACTTTGCTTACTCCTTGACAGACTTTGTCATCAAGAGAAGTTTCTGCAGGTGAAAACAAGTCCTTGTTTATTTTATTTGCATAAAAATATCTTCAAGACACCTGTGAAAACCCACAGCCTGTTTATCCTCAACATCCTGCTTTTTGTGTTCATCTACAGGTTACAGCTGGAAAGGAAATTTGCCTTAGTCTTTTGTAAATGAATACGCAAGACAGTGTGCTAAAGAAGTGCTTTAATAGACTTAAATGAAGCAACATGAACAAAGATTTACTTCTTGCCTTAACAATAAAAAATAGGAGAAAAAAAGTCAGTGAATGAAATGAACAGAAACAACTAAATGTACGATAAGAGCAGGCTGTCTGAAGGTGCTACTCTAAGCAGCCAATTCACAGTTGCACCACATTGTTTGAGAAAAATAAATATATCAAAGTGTCATTACAGTCAAATGCACCCAGGGCAAGAAAACTCAGGCTGCCACAGAATACCAACAACCCTATCAAATTAAGATGAAAAAGAAAGAAGAGCTTGATGATTTTGAATGAGCAAAGCAAAGGAACAGCCCCAGTAGACCCAAATGCTTGGATTCTCTTACCTTTCAGTATTAAATGTGCAAGTTTTTATCAGAACCAGGTATTAAAATGTTGTTTAAACAACATTTTAAAGGGGGAAAAAAAACACACAAAGAAAGCAGGAAATATTAAAATCCTTCATTAACCATTTTTCTATGCTCAAAAAAAAAAATCTGATACATAATAATTCAATATCATACTATTAATAACTAGTCTTTTCCAATGCTGAATGCATAACAGTAGGTCCAATTGCTAGCCTCTTATCAGCAAAGAGTGATCTTCCATTTCTAAATTGAAAAAAGCACGTAGACCCTCTTCCCTCAGAGTTCACCCAGACAAAGGCATAATCCTACTCATTCACCCCATCTGAAAGACCCACAACTTGTGGCTCTCTGATTTCACTCGAGCAATTATTCTACTTCTAATACCTACATTGTTGGACATAACTATCTACTTTTTCAGCATACCTACTTGTCCTATGCCTTGCTGAGACCTTGCAGTCTTTGAGGATCCCTAGTACATCCTTTAGGCAGCATATCCTTTGCCTAACTATCTCACACTCTCAGCTCATTTCATCTATACTGTCATTCACTCAAATGAACTTGAGCATAAACATTAAACATATGCATGTTGTTATCACATGTAGACATTCAAGACATGAAGATGGGACTTAGATTCCCTTCTCAACAGAAGTTCCTTCACAAAGAGGACAGGTGTTATGGGTCGAAACAGACCTTGTACATCCTCCAAGCACAGGTACACATTACAGGATGATTGGGAAAATGAGGCTTAAATAAGCATGCAGCTGTGGTAGTGTAGATACCTGAGAGCAAAAATCTGAAAAGGGAATAAGAAAGCTGTATACTTTCTGAAGATCAAGTTTTGAAATGGACCTGAAGCTTTAAGGTTTCATGGATTTATATAATAAATTCCCTTAAATTTGCGGCTCATAAAAATCAATTCATAGTTTTTAATGAGAAGGGAAAATCTGGGCCCTGAAAATTTGTTGAAAATGTGGTAGAAAAATGACTACACTAAGGAAGCACTTTTGTTTTGTTGAACAAAAGCATTATCTTTGTTCACACGCCGTATTAACAAGAACAACAGCACATCAGAAAATACAATTTTCTTCTTCTTTCTTTCTGAGCAACTGTTTTGCTTTTCTCATTTTCTTAGAAAAAGTTAAATTTAACACTTATCACTACTTTTATTAGTCTGATAAAGCTCACCATTCAATGACATTCTGTAACCATAAAAATTGGTTTACTAATCTCTCTTTTAAATGAAACTAATGATAAAACATCCATGCGGAATAAAAAGAAATCAATCTATGGGTGCATTAGTCACAGCCAGAGCAAAATGTGTGCTTATTCATATTCAGACTCACAGGGTTCAATAAACACTGCACATGTTAGCTCATATTTGGCATCTGATTAGATCACCGAACTCTTTTGCACAGCTGGCATAAAGAGCCCACCTGCCTAATTATTTCCAGATAACTGCAATCCTCCTTCATCTCTGTCCTCTCTAAAAGTTAATAACAAACTCCAAAGGCTGGGAATACAGTGACTAATCAGAGAATGCCATTAAGGGGACAGGCAGTGAACACTCAGTGAATATTGACAAGCAGGTGTATAGTCTCAAAGAGAAAGAGTTAATAAGGAAAAGCAATTATATCAAAAGAGCAGGAACAGTTACTGTATGGAACACACCAAATTCTCAACTTTAGTTTCTCAAAAGGGTGAGTACAGTTCAGTAACAGTCAAATATTAGATAGGCTACTAGATTTTTGTTTTATTGGAAAGCTGTGAAAGAAAGGGATGCAGCCATCATTCTATAAGGTTACATCTCAGTGCACCTACAACACACCAGTTCCAACATAAAATCAAAAGGACTGAAAAATAGCACAAAGTAGAAAACCATTTTTCTTGGATATTTTGTCTAGCATTCCCACAGATGATTTGATATTTCACAGCAAAACCGTGGAGAAGTGAGTAGGTTAGTTGTTGCCTGGTTCTTGTTAACTGCGATACATTTGTACAACAGGAAAAAGTGGCCCGGTTTTCTCAGGCTAAACACAAATGCAATGAGTTTCTCCAACACCAAAATCAGAGTTGAAATACTACCCAGCTACAGTTCTATGATATAGATCATTACCAATGAATTGCAGAGGTAAAAATAATAATAATAATAATAATGATTAAAAAAAATCATCCTCTTCTTCCTCCTTCTTTGCCCAGAAACCTACAGTTGCTTCTCCATAAGAGCCAATCCACACCTTAAGTTTTTGGAATGCAACACACTAATTCAGAAATTTGTTTCACACGGAGGCCCTGAATTCATTTCAATTACAAAATGTGCAGTGACTTCATCTTGTTCAGTTACCCAAGATCTATAATATTTTCCCCATTCTTGTTCATTGTATTCAGTTTTCTATTTTGTAAAACAAAAATTTAATGAGAGTGAGACAGGGAATTCTGCAGGGGAAAAAAGAAAAAGAAAAAAAAAAAAAAAAGAAGCTAGAGAAAACATTTTACAAACCATGTTTTTATATTAAGATATGCAATTTAGTATCAAAGACTCAGGTAATTATGATGATTAAAAGGCAAAGACATTCATAAACAATCACTGGTATCCACATGCTCTCCCAAAAGAACAGAACCAAGTAAACTACCAAGCCAATTTATCTTCATCTTGCCAGAAAGCTGCCAACAGGCTCTCATAACCTTTACCTTCTCCCATATCCGATTATCTCTGGACACCCGTGTAGTGCTTTTAAGTACTTTACTAAAATACTTAGCTATACTAAAAT